CGCGGCGGGGGCCGGGCTCGGCGGGGCCTGCGCGGCCCGGCCCGGGAGGCCTTGAGGGCCCGTTCGAGGGCCGCCGTGTGGCGGCCCGGGCCGAGCAGCCCCGCTCGGGCTCCGCTGCGGCGGTTTGGGCTTGGCGCAGGAGGCTGCCGTGCCCGGCAGCCCCGAGTGGGTGCTGGGAGCCGCTCACCTGCGCTCCGAGCCCTCGGGCCGCGCTCTCCCCGGCAGACCGGCCGTCTCCACAAAAAACCGCGAGCTGAAGCAGCTTCAGGTTAAAATAGCTGCAAGGGAGCCTTGCTGTGGGATTGAACAGATAAAAGGTGACCTTAGGACTGTGGAGGTGTGGCGTCGGCTCCAAGCTTTGTTTCTGGCCCAGTGTTAGTGAGTGTAAAGCAAATCCCTTTGCTAATCCCTGTTGAGGCCTCGGCATTTCTAGCAGTGAGATAATTTTTGGCTTTTTATAGCGTGTATTAATGCTCATACACTGAGGTACATTTACTATGTCATTTTATTAGTCTTATTTGGTATTTTTAGTCCCCATTACTGCATTTGAAAAAGGACAGAAAATGGGTTTTCTGTTGTTTATGCATCATGATCCACGTGATTAAATGGCTTTAAAGAGAGCTGTAATGGCTGTTCTCTTGCTATCTAATTTACAGTGAGAAATGAAGCCTGATTTGCCTAATATTTTCTTGATCTTATGTTTATTTAGTTAAACAGGATTCTGATGTAAGGCCTATCTTTAGAGGTCTCTTAGGAAATTAAAATCATCCTGTGTTCACACTGACAAGAAGTTTTATATATCCTTCCAGTGTTAGAAGAAAGGTCATATGACTTCTTCCTGCAAATATGTAACTGCTACTAATCTTAAGCAAAAAACTCAGCCTGCATTTGACATAACCCACAGTAAGTTTGGTACAGCCACTTCCAAGGGAAGAACGTGACTGTGAGCTGCAGGGGCAAGCAAAGACATAAATAGTTATCAGAAGAGTTGTGATTAGCCAATGTATATGCTGGTTTGAAAGACAAAAATAATTAACAATTCAAATGGAATTATTGCTGATAGAGCAACCCTTTTCCTCAGAGGCCCTGGCTGGTTAAGTGCTTTTGTACCTGGGGGTGGTCTCATGGTATGTGAGCACTTGCACAGAGGGAGACAGGAAATAAAAATCTTCCTGAAAACATTGGTACAGTTTCTTCCTTCTGTGATTTCTTCTAGGATTCAGGCATCACATTTACCTGGTTTTGTTTTATGGTGTGAGCCTGACACCTGCACCTTCCCCTCCAACAGACCCAGCTGGACCCCAGTGTGTTTGCACAGCTCACGCTGCAGCTCTTCATACACTGAGGTACATTTACTATGTCATTTTATTAGTCTTATTTGGTATTTTTAGTCCCCATTGCTGCATTTGAAAAAGGACAGAAAATGGGTTTTCTGTTGTTTATGCATCATGATCCACGTGATTAAATGGCTTTAAAGAGAGCTGTAATGGCTGTTCTCTTGCTATCTAATTTACAGTGAGAAATGAAGCCTGATTTGCCTAATATTTTCTTGATCTTATGTTTATTTAGTTAAACAGGATTCTGATGTAAGGCCTATCTTTAGAGGTCTCTTAGGAAATTAAAATCATCCTGTGTTCACACTGACAAGAAGTTTTATATATCCTTCCAGTGTTAGAAGAAAGGTCATATGACTTCTTCCTGCAAATATGTAACTGCTACTAATCTTAGGCAAAAAACTCAGCCTGCATTTGACATAACCCACAGTAAGTTTGGTACAGCCACTTCCAAGGGAAGAACGTGACTGTGAGCTGCAGGGGCAAGCAAAGACATAAATAGTTATCAGAAGAGTTGTGATTAGCCAATGTATATGCTGGTTTGAAAGACAAAAATAATTAACAATTCAAATGGAATTATTGCTGACAGAGCAACCCTTTTCCTCAGAGGCCCTGGCTGGTTAAGTGCTTTTGTACCTGGGGGTGGTCTCATGGTATGTGAGCACTTGCACAGAGGGAGACAGGAAATAAAAATCTTCCTGAAAACATTGGTACAGTTTCTTCCTTCTGTGATTTCTTCTAGGATTCAGGCATCACATTTACCTGGTTTTGTTTTATGGTGTGAGCCTTACACCTGCACCTTCCCCTCCAACAGACCCCGCTGGACAAACCCCAGTGTGTTTGTCACAGCTCACGCTGTAGCTCCGGGTACATGTTTTTTCCTGAAAGGGCTTTGTTCTACTTCAGAAGTTCACAGTTTCATTCCTGCAATGAGGAAAGGCACACCTGCTGCCCAGACAGCAGGAGAGAGGAGCTGCTCCCTTTTCCCGTTTGCATTCCCAGGTGTTTTTGCCTCTTTCAAGTCAGCTGGGGGAGTGAGGGCTGTAAGCCAAGCCCAGCTCAGCCTGCTGGGTGTGATAGTGCATCAGGTAGGAAATGGGCAAAGAGGTTGATGCCTTGCAAAGGCTGACCTAGAACAGAGACTGGAGAGAGTTAAAGAGTAAAGTAGGTGTTTATTAGAAGGCCTCAATGGATCTGCCTTGGGCAGCACAAGAGTCCACCCAAGATGGTCACAAAATGGTCTCAAAATGGACAACCCGGGTCTCATACTTTTATAAGTTCTGGTCCATTAGCATATTGGAGTTAATTGTCCAATTATAGCTTTAGCCCATGAAGTCACATCCTTCTTGTTTTTCTCTCTTCACTCCACTGTTGTTTATGCTCTTGTGCCTGAGATTTGGATCATTTGTCCTTGGTTCCCAGCTAGAAAAGGAATTGTTTTGTACTCTGAAGAGAACTTACTATCCCCTAATATGAAGCTCAGAACTACACACGAAAGCAGTACAGAATGTGAAAAATATAAAAGCTAAAACCCGAGGCATCAAGGTGGCCTCCAGAGTAGAAATCTGCCAGATAGTCACAGCCCCTG